AGTTACTGCTGGCACGTGTTACATGCACAGCAGGAACAAGTCCTGCAGATATTTAGTTTGTTTCACCTCATATTTCCCTTTTGTCTCTGCTTAATTTTAATGTGTTGAATGTTTGCGATGTTTTGAGTGTACCTGGTACTCTACATTCAGCGTATTTGTGTCAATGGCAGCTTCCTGCAGCAGCGTGTGTGTGAGTGGTCGTGAGGAGGTGTGAAGCAGCTGAAGCCACACCTCCTTTGGGGTGGAGACAGAACAGACAGTCTCCACCCCCAAAGTGTTCACATCCAACAGGAGAGACAGATTAGAGCCCCGCCTGCAAAATAAGAAAACATTCAAGAGAAAAAAGATGATTGATAGCAATTTTAAACTCACTAAAGAAAACATATATTCAGAGTTTTAACAAACACATTTTAGTCACAAAAGTGTAAATTTAAAAAATGACATTTTTAGAGGACTCAGGGTTTTAGAAAGCAAGATTATGCACCTCTCCTGGAGCCGGACTGAAGCTTTGCGAGGAGGTGTGGTCAAGGGTGGGGGTGTCACTGGTTCCTCAGCAGGAGGGGAGGCGGAGTGCACTGCTGACATGCTCATGGTGAGTATAGGTGTATTTCAGTGGTTGGGTCCTCCTTATCTGCTCCTCACCACAGCATGCTGCAGTCCAGAGAGAGAAGGAGCTTTAACATCACCACATCATTTAGTTTTTCAGTAACCAGGAAGCAGGATAGGCTGGCAGAGTGATCGTGCGAATCAGAGCTGCTGATGACCAATCAGCAGCCACCATGCTCATGCGTCACTGCACCCACCAAAGTCTGCTGAACTCTGGGAAAAGAAGCACACACTGTTTCTGAAGTTAATTTGCAGTCTGAACTGTAGATAAATGATTTTGGAGGTTTTTTCTTGTTTTTTCTGTAAATGTGTAAAACTGCTTCACAAAAAATTAAGACGTCACAAAGGTGATGTTCAAGTGTAAAATCAGCCAGTGAGATCTACACAAAAATGTAAAACAGGCTTAAGTGACTTGCCAATACAAGTAAGAAAGATTGAGAAAGATTGCTGACTGGGAATTACGTTTAAAGCAACGCCAACATGTTTTAACCTCTGTTTTCGACCGTGGCGTGAAAAAACGGC